ATTATGTAATTCAAGGCCTGCCCCCCCCCCCCCCCCCCGGATTCGCCAGTGTCTGAGTGTCTCATAATATTAACAAGTCTTCGAAATAAAATTGCTACAACTTTAATCATGTATGGAGAACATGTATGGTGCTTAAAGAATGTCGCTATCTCATTCTCCGCTTCTATTCTATTCACCTCGCCTTTGCATCTTTTTTTCCGTTCTCCACGCCCGCGCCGTCGATAAGTCTTTGCGAGTTGAATATCTGTTAGTGACACTGATAAACGCATGTGTGTAAGTCATCACGAGTACACATTGATGATTGTAAAAGCCGTTCCACGATTCTTCGAATCGTTATCGTGTAATCACCGAAACTCATAACGAAATTCTTTTGAAAATTCCATAACTCTATCCTTGAATGTCAGGATCATTTCAACCTTAATCATATCAAGTTCTACACTTCGATAGAGTTGGCTAAGCTTTTTCAAAATGAAAAAAGAAATTATGAGTTTTGGAGATTGACTGTGTATTTTGAAACGCGAGCTAAAAATGACAAAAGGAAGCAGATTCAATAAGTGTTGATTAATAAAATTATAAATTTTCTGTGATTTTGCTTATTTACAATTTTCACCTCTTTTCGAGATAATTGACTTCCTGGAGGATACATAATTCTAGAATTATTAAAGCTTTGAAATTTCAAAATTTCTCTTAAGATTTTAAATTAGAATATAAAACAAATTAAATAATAAATATAAGTACTATAATAAATAATATTTATAAACAAAAATTTCTTTAAGAAATCTTTTATATAACCCTTCTATTCTTTTTTAATGTTATGTATATTTTTTCAATGTCAAGTCTGCCTGGCATTTATAAGTTATAATAACCTATTATTAAAAAAAGAATTAAGGATTTCTCAAATTCCCTCTACATAGATCCAACATTATCGTCATTCGCCCGGCCCATCATGTGAAAAGCACATATCAAATCCGCATCCACCGACGATATTCTCATACACGCATGAACACGCCTTCACGCGCGCCACGCACACGTGCGTATAGGGAACGCAGCTGCTACAAAAATACGTAGTTTTACTCGTCAGGGCTATCTCGCTTCAGGCATCTTCAAAGGAAGCCGCCTTAACGTTATTACGATAATAAAACTGAGCGAGCAAGAGTGAACCCTCGGCTATAAATATCTCTTTCCTTATGTCGTATATGTATATGTGTACGTAAATGAATGTATATATAAATACAGTGTCCGCATGTGCGTGCGTGCGTGTGTGTTGTATGTAGTACATGTATAATCGAGTGCAGTATTATGCATAAACGATTTTAAAATTAGCTAGATAAAGATATGAAATGAAAATTAATTTGGAAATTTATCCTAGATAAAGATGATTTTAATTTAATTAATCTTGATGATCTAGATAAATTTATCTTTATTTAAAAGTTTCCAGATAATTTTATTTTTATTTTTATCTTTGAGATTGCTTACAATTTTTAAAAGAAATTACAATAAAAAATTGCAATAAAAAGTTATGAAAAATACACAGTAGAACCCGGATTAATCTAATATTGTTTTTTTCATCTCCCGAATTCTCTATCCGACCTCATTATCGAGTTTTCATAATGGTAATGCATGCTCAAAATTATCGCACATAATACTATCATCACGAGAATTCAATAACGAGATCGGATAATCTGGAAAATAAAAAAAATGATAATCCGAGTTCTACTGTATTCACACTTTTATTCATAAATCTTTATTGCGTAAAAACAATATTTTTTGGAAAGTGTCGGACAAACAATTCGTCGAGGTATATATAAATTTATTGCCTAGAACTAAAAAGACGCTCCACTGGTGTTGATGACAGCAAAGATATGTTACTTAAAAAAGAAAACATGTTTTTACATTTGGATAAGAATGAAAATATCTTCGCTTTTTCTCTTTTCAACGCTCGAATATACAGGGTGTAATTAAAAAAACATGTATGGAGCATTTCATGAAATATAGAACAAGAATTCAAGTTGAGAAGTCCTGAGTCATTTTTTGATCTGAACTTTATGTCTGTTATTATATTAGGTGTTGGAATTAATTCGTAGCGTTTTACAAGTGATGGGAAGTACTTTCATTAATGTATTTTTTAATGCTCATGTGAAATAAATAACATTCTTTCATTAAAAACGCTACGAATTAATTCCAACACCTAATACATGTTAAAGTTAGCGAATCAGCGTTCGTCTATAAAGGAAAACAGGGACAGGAAGTAGCAAGGAGGAATGAAACTGAATATGCGGCGGGAGAAGAACAACAATGAGCAGCGAAGTAGTTGTAATCATCAATCCCTCTCTCTTTCTCGTTTTTCTCCTACAGACGGGCGCTAATTCATTAACTTTAATACTGTACAGTAATGAACATGAACTCAGAAAAATGACGAAGGACTTTTAGACTTGGATTCTTCCTGTATGCTCCATGTATAAGAGCTTTCTTAGTTACACTCTGTATTCATCTCATTTTAAGTGCAAAAATTTTGGGGGATTTCAAGAAACGCGAATAAACTTTATTAAGCTTATAAAGATTTTTATTATACTAAATGTTATAGTAAGGCTGTATTCGAAAACATTACCCGGATGCCTCCGTGTATCATCTTATCTTTGTTTAACGTTGGTGAACAACAAGAACAAACTGATATATAGAGGCACTCGAGTAATGTTTCTGGCTTAACACTGCGTCAAGGACAAGCAAAATTGAAGCAGAAAGGTTTAGATATATCGTATGATTCGAATCTATCTCAAGGCTAATAACATGAAAATGGTGCAACACAGTTTTTTATAAATTAACTCGACCACGCTCTTACTTGACTTACTGTAAATTACAAAGATGTGACATATTATTTCAAATTAATATTTTATTTTATTATTTAATAATGGGACAATATATAATATATTTCTCGCTTCCAAAAATAATGATAAAACATTTCCCTTTTATTTTAGATAACAACCACATATATAAACACGCATATATAATATTTGTGATATGGAGTTCCTTGGATGTCTCTTAGACGACATCCGTGGGATTTCACACATACGGACACTTTTACATCCCCTGGAATCCGTTGAATAACTGAGACCATCCATGGATATGACAACATTATCGCGATATCCCAAAATGATGTTAGACATCCCTATATAAGATAAAGCATGCTATGTGAGATGTATATTCAAGCGAGCCTTCCCTATACTAAACTATAGAAAACTGCGATTTGGAGAAAAGAAAGGCAAGCAATAATGCAGGTCTTTCTGACTCTTTTCTACACTTAGGGTAATAAAACAACATTAACTAATCAGTGAATTCCTGATGAAGAAAACAGTAGCAATTTTGAATGTCCTTGTTTAGGAACTGAGACACTCTTGTAACTCGCTTCATATGTTATAGAACTCACTGGCTAAAGCAAATGCTTAAATTAGAGTTTGTGTTGAGCTCGTTTCGTAACCTAATTCGTCAACTATAAAGGCCGCCATATTTCTGGCTACAGTTAACGCATGCACAAAAAAAAATCGAAAAGAACAAAAGTTATACGGTTCGGAGGGAGACATAAGAAGGTACTATTGATATAAATTTGGGTGGCATCATCAAGGTCAGACCGTTTTTTTTTAAATGGAAAGTCCTATTTTTTATTGTACATTCTTGTATTTTATCTTATAAGCTCTCCAAAACTATAATAAAATATTTTTTCATTAAGTACTTTTCGAGTTATGAGACTTGGAAGTTACAGTACTGCCAATGTTACCCAAGGTGTCCGATCAAACCTCTTGAATATTATTCAGAATTATACTTTGAATAACATTTGTTAAGATCAATACACATTTTTGTAACAAAAATGAAAAATAAGAGGTATAATCTTGAATGATAGCCTTGATCTTGACAAATGTTATTCAGAGCATGATCCTGAATGACATTCAAAAGGAAAATTAGAATTTGGATGAAAATTCATCCACAGAAGTCAGGGTTAATATAAATAAATACCACTATCATATTTTTGGCTCGCAAGAGAAATAGATTAGAACATTGATTATATAGAAAATTGATTGAAAATAAATTCATTTAAAATTAATTTACAAAAACTATATTGAACGTTGTAATGATTACATGCGAATAGGTTCCATTTTTATCACTAATTGATAGCGACATTCCGCGAAAGTGGAATCTAACCGGAAATCAGTATTGAATTGATGTCGAGAAATCCAGTAATCCGCGACCACAGACGAGAAAACGGCTTCTAATTATGTCTCCTATGGAGAGAAGCATGTATCGGATGTATCCTGTTCGGAGAAAAAGGGACCGGTATTCTCCCCTTATCCTCCCCCCTTCTCGTTCTCTCCCTCCCATAACGTTGTTTTGATTCGCCTTATCGCTGCTAATGAGAGCCGGACGTACGTTCTTTGATCTTCGATCGGTTATTAACGCTCGTTGCCATGAAAATCTTTCTCCCTTTTTCTACCTGCTTCCCACCCGAGAGCTATTAAGACCCAGCATATTTAACGTATTATTTTTTATTTCAAAGTGACTGAACATTTCGCAAACATTACTTTAACAATATTTTAAACATTTAATAAATAATTGCAAATTATATGGATTTTATTTTTTGGAAAATTGCACCGAGAAATTAATATGTAATAACATAGTTTCAGCCAAGAAATTATTTATAATAAAATGTAAACAATTATTATTTTATGTTATACAAGAAATATTATTTAAAATACATATTATTTTTTCAATTCTCCAGAGTGTATAATATAAACTGAGAATTAATATAAACCGTTAGCTTGTTAACGTAAATCTCCTTTAAAAAAAAAAGATTTTAATTTGTAATACATTGTGTTTATAATATAAAAAAATCTCAAATTTTTTCGGGTTAGAAAGCACATTTTTTAGCATTCATGATGAATATTTTCTAATTTTCCCGACATAAAAATATAAGCGAGAAAATAGTTTGGCATTTCAAGAATCATAGTTACCCCTCGTTCTGCCTGCCGTTGATCTTCGTTACCCATAAAATTCGGCATCGCTGTCATATTATAACGCAATCCTCGGCAAAAGGATACGTTCAATCGCTCGCATTTGGCGCCGGTTCCGGGATGCGCGTGGTTGATGCCCCAACCTCGGACCAACGCCGCCGAAAGGATAAGCACCACAATACGTAGCACCATTTTCAATGTCAATAATATTCACATTTTGTTCTGCATATAATAAATAGTAATAATATGTATATAATTCATATATACACTCGCGCTGACAAGGTCACGTGATCGCGACACGCGGTACCCCATTAAACGCATCCGTGTCGGCAGTCGACGGTCGACTGAAGTTGACTAACATCAGCTCGAGATGCAACGCCAAGTTTACGCTGGTCACGCAATGTCGCAGATGCAGACGTTCGGGTAATTCCGCGCCTGTTCGGCCGCACTCTCTTCCCCCACCTTTCACTTTTTGCCGCCACGGCCGCCGTCACGGCGGGCCCTATTATCTTGACTCGACCGCCGATGCGCCGAGGATTATGGGACCGATCCCGCAAGGGCTGCGGGCATAATAATTAGGAACAAAGAGAGCGCTGAACGTTAAGCTGTGTCGCCGATGAATTTCTGTCATTTTTCCGCAGGGAAACAGCAGGATATTTTTTTTTCTGTGAGATACATTAATTTAATATACATAAATTCGATGACACGTTTAAGGATAAATACAAAATTAACGTTAATGGTTTTTTATAAATGAGATTTGCAAACTTCGCAGAAATATGTAATAAATTTTTAAGATGTCTGAAAAGAACAATGAATTCAATTTCTTTGTGTGTATGTGTGTTTAAAGAAAAAAAAATTTATAAAAAAATATATATGTAATTTTGGATGCAAATTTATTTCTTAAATATAATGATTTTATAATGATAGAATTTTGAAATTTGTAATACTATAACACATACACACATTTCGCAAAAATTTAAAAAGTAAAAAATTTAGTAAAAAATTTAAAAAGTAAGGAGAGAGAGAGAGAGAGAGAGAGAGAGAGAGAAAGAGAGAGAGAGAAGGTAGTTCAAGTGAGAAAATTTTCAAAATTACAAAATCACTATAATTTACAAAAATTATGAAAAATCTAAACATTCCTGATTGAATAAAATTTTTTATAAAGATGCTACGAAGTAGATCCAAGAAATATTGCCAATCCAACGGCAAAAACAGATCAGTTCTGATATTTTATTCGGAGAAAAGCGGACAATGAATTCAAAACGGCGAGCCGAGTCGTTATGGTCTAGCATTATGCGTGTTAACACGATTTCGGGTTTTCCACAGTCGGTCTCTTTGGACCTTTTTGGGTCCAGCTAACGCGGTCTGTTACGCCCATCGAAGAACGACCTTGGTTTACTTCGGCGCAGACTGTGAAGCATAGAATAAAGAAATCTACAATGAGACAGGCTAGGCCTTCGGCTTTCTTTGACGCTTTCTTTTCCTTTCAAACGCGAAAATGCTAATTGTGCGTATTTTATACGTGGCGTACGCTTTTTTCTTGATGAGCTCTCAATATCCGTTGTCCTTTTTCGATTCTTAATTTTATCGAAGGACGACATATTTTTACAATTACAATTAATAACTATTTCTCACGGACGCGTTTACACAAACACAAACTCGAATTTATTATTTACTACGAATATACTTTTATTAGCCCGATATAAGATCCAAAAGCATATAGGAGTGCGTTTACCAGCGCGTTTGCTGGTAAAGATGGAACAGGGACTAACGGAGATGAAAGAATGGAGGGGGTTAAGGCGGCGGCGAACCATCAAAGAGGATTGTAATTAGTCGCGCATATGCCGCGCATCAGACGGAGCATCAAACGCGGGAATCTCTGTTTTTTGCTTGCTATTTCTATCTCGAATACCATCTTCTGCAATGTACAACTTGAGAATGTGCAAAATTCACCTAATTGAGATTTGTTTCTGCGAAAAGTTAGAACACCTACAAAACAAAACAATCTTTTGAAAACTTTATTATATTATACTTGTAAACGTATTTTATCAAATATTTTTATTTATTTTATGCATTTTGCGCACATAAAAACATTTATAAGAAATTCTAGATTTTTGCATTATATTTCCAAATCTACATTGAAATTGTAGATTTGAAAAAGATTTGTATTATATAAAAGAAACTTACAAAGATAAAAAGTGTATCAAATACATAAAAAAAATATTTAAAATTTATATATTATTCTCTTATAAAATCTTTAAGAAGAGTTTAACATTACAAACACATGCAGATCTTTAATATAATTGTATCAAATCTCTTTTTGAAAAGTAACATAGTTGTTGCTAAGAATATGCACGTGCACGAAAAATAACTCTGCCTCTTACATATATCAAATTTCTTCGTACATTAATTGTGAATAAATACTTGTTACGTTCATAATACTTGTTACGTTTCTTTGTTATCTCAACTATCTTGGTATTACACAAAAGTTACAAATTCTGTGCAAAAACGATGAATGATTGTCCTTTAATTTAGAACAATAACAATTACCGCTCACATATATCAACGATTCTTTTCCATTTTTATAAGATTTTATATGCTTCAAGAATGTAAAACTTAATAATCATTACAAAAAATATATTACCTCGAATTCGACTTCCGGTGCAGGTAATATTTTACACAATACATTTGTTTACAGATTTCCAGCACATCTCTTTAATGGGATGTCTAATTGAGTAAATTATTGAATTACTTATCAATTTAATTTGTGATATTACTGCAGTAGTTCAGTTGCGTTTCTAAATCGAAAAACCAATTCGGCGCGCAGTTTAAATGACTACACATATATGTAGTACATAAATTCACATGGATATGATATATTATTTAAGCTTTTAATCCACGAGTAGTCGCGCTATGATTATTTTGCCGTACTTTTCCGTTTTCTATTTATTTCAATTTATTGGCACTATTATATTTTTACTTTTACGTAAATGTTTGTTAATGTTTTTTCGTATAGTGTGCGAAAATAGATGAAACGTAAATACGCTTACATTTACATAAAATTGGATATGTTTGTAACGGTCGATTTAAACTAGGTCCGGCCATAAACTAGTTCGAAAATGCAGGTAACAAATCAAAAAAAAGGAAACAATCACGAAAAAGCTCGGCAGCTTGATAAAAGTTAGGAATGACGCAACACCCAAGCCGTGACGAAACACAATAGTACACAATAGTATGTAAACGTTAGTGTTTGTAGTCTCATTTTCTTATTAATTATTACTTATAGTAATTATAATCATATATGTATTCTAGTTATAATACATATATGTGCGAAAATATATTTCAAAAGGACGCGCCTACTAACGTTAGTTTTGAAACGCGTCTACTCCCGGGTTAAGCTAAGATCCAGCTTCGTTTATAGGTTTTAAAGGGATCTCCTATATTAGAGAGCAAAAAAATTCGATTTTTTTTTTCATGAATCAATAGTACCTCTTCGAGAATGGAATGTGTCCCTAAAATTTTAGAGTGAAATTCGAAATCCTTTCTCGAAATCATTTTTTACATTTTCTTCAATTTTGTGTACATGATTGAGAAAAAAGTATTTGTCCGATCGACTTCTTTTAGAGTTCATTCTTTAGTTAATAATCAACCATTCTACTCGTATGTAAATCTAAAAAATTAAATAAAAATCAATATTTTTTTTGCATAAACAAACGGCTGCTGCCTGAAAATGAAGTAATTTTTTTCTTCAAAGTCGCACAAAATTGTAATTTAAAACAAATTTTTTAGGTTTACGTAGGATGATATTCTATACAAATTAAAAATCTTTTTTGATTTTTTGATTCAGGCAAAAATTACAGCCGTTAGGATGTACACAAAATTGTTACGTCGTGGTGAACCGCCAAACTAAATGTTCATGTTTTTATTATTTAAAATACTTTTTTTACATAAATATTTATACGTACTCTACAATAATTATAATTTATATGTATTTATATGTATAAAACATATATTAAAACATGCAAAAAGTTTGAAATTGATAAACATTAATCTTTCTTATGAAAAAAATTACAAAAGACCACCTTGTTTTCGGCCTCCTATAATGTAGAAAATCTTCTCTTAATTTAGTGTAAAGCAGATTTTTTATCTACAATATAAGGCACAATTAATTTAATTTCAATAAGACGTAAAAATTTCAATAAAACATATTATTAAGGCAATACATATTTTTTGTTGTACCCAAGAAAATTTGTTTGATTTATCAATTTATGAGACATAACTTGCTCGGTTAAATCGTGTACTCGTGCGCGTTAGATGTTTCAATGCGCGTTGAAGTCACGTAAGGGATGGAATGCATATGATGGAGTTGAGGGAGGGGGAGGGGGGAGGGCGGAATTGCATCGGCAGGCCAGATACGTAAATGGCGCGAGAAAGTCTCTCATTACTCGGTAATAACCTGTAATAACGTAGATTTAATGCGTGGCTTCAAGTACAGGCTACAGATAATCGTTCACCGCCTTCGGCAGTTTTAATGAATTGCCCCCTTCCACTCTTCCGTCTTCTTTCTTCGCCCTCTGCACTGTTCCATTTCGATACCTTTTTCAATGAAAGAAATGTTATTTAATTATTATTCAATATCAGCTTACATAAATAATTAAAGAAAGGAGCATTAAAACCTACACAGATTCTTAGTGACAAGCAATAAAACTATTTTATATAAAACTGTTGCTTGATAACATAATATACATATTGTATAAATAAACAATCATAAATATTTCGACTTTATATTAGATCATCATGAATATGTACAATACATACAATCCAATTTAGATTTCTTTAACCGATAAATTCCTATAACTCATTCTACAACTCAAAACTACATATATTTGCCATAAAAAACTGAAATTGAATTTGTAACTCTTTGTGAGATCTTTTGTTGTCCAACGATTTTTCTTCTATAGAATAATGAACATCCATTGACAAAAAGCCATTTCTAATCTCTTTGTTTACTTTGATAGTCGTAACTTAAAATATACAGGAGTCATAAATCTTATGTACAATCAATAGTAACATAGCTAGAGTAGTTAATAATAATTAAAAATATTGATAATATATTGAATTTGTCAATTCGAAATTAAAATTGAAAGAGTGAAGATAGAATTTAATGCCATAAATAAATATAACATTTTAATTTTAATGTTAAATTGTTATAAAGATATTAATAAAAAAATATAGTCGACGAACAGATGATTAAAAGACAACAGATGTCGCACTGCTAGTCATAGTCTTATAGTTATAGTCTATCCATATGATAACTAAAAGCTACTTTGGATATTTTTTGGATGTCTTTAATACTTCTTTTAGTTTTTATATTTTGATACAATATAACATTTAATAATATCGAATTCCTAAATTAATTTTTACATAAAACGAAATAAAATTGCTGATAATATATGTCCCATTTTCAATATTTGTCATGTTCTATGTGCAAGAGTCATTATCTTTCATATCATAGTCTTCTTTGAAGACCCGATTACAAAAAAATATTTTATTAGTGTTCATTAAAACACGAGTAAAATTTCTTATAATGCTGCATCTTTTATTCTGTCCTGTATGATTTTTAAATACAGGAAACTGAACTCCATCACGTCCATCTGGTGGCGATTTCGCATAAGCTAAATGAGTGATAAAAAGTACCAAAATAACGGAAAGATATCTTTTTCATGTTGTCTTTTGGCAATACGAAAAGATATCTTTTAGTCAACCTTTTGCTTTGCAAAAATGACAACCATAGAAAGATGACGAAAAGATGTCTTTTTTTTTAAGTTGTCTTTCTCAGAACTAAAATATATTTTATAGACATCTTTTGGTTTTGCTGAAAAGACAACCTAAAAATAATGTCTTTTCATCATCTTTTAAACATCTTTTCGCTTTGTCGGAAAGGCAACTTAAAAAAGACCTCTTTTCGTTATCTTTTAATATTTTGTGCTGTACTGATCAATTGTTCTCCAGTCCGTTGCGCAAAAGTGTTATTTCTTGGTGAAAAAATCACATTGCCTTTATTACAATATTTTTAGATCGAAAGGCATAGAGATATGCTCTACGCAATTTCTATAAATGAATAAAAATGCATTCAGAATTGAAAAGAATTCATTTTAACATTATCCATATTTCTACATAAATCCGTATTTCTGAAAATCTGAATCCATTTTAATCCGTTTCAATCCATTCTCGTTTGCTGGGAATGCATGCTGACACAACACATCACCCGAAACTTAAACAAAACTGAACATAACGTAATATCATCATATTATACTGGTAAATGTCGTCCAAAATCGAATTTATATGCTTGCATGGCGAAAACATGATAAAAATTAAGTATGTGCTGCTATTTCAAAAAGTAGAAGTAAAATCACAGCAGAAATACATCGCGATTTGTTATATCAAACCATACGCGACATATCTATATCAATTTAAATTTCCATCACAGGCAAATATAAAGATTGCATAACGCGACTAGTGAAAATAAAAATGTGTAGTAGTTTCCTACCTGCAATTTAATGTCTGACACATTTCCTATAGAAAATTTAGAATATTGATTTTTTGAAAACAACAATTCTTTCAATGTAAGAATTGTTTATTTATTAATATTATACATAAGATGCAAAAATTAAAAGTATAATTCTATTTAACAAAATCTTATTCTGATTAAATATACTTTTTTAATAAAAATGCATTTATTTAATAAAGATAATCCTCCTAGAAAGAAAAGGAAGAAAGATAAACTGCAAAAGTTCAGACAAAAAGAACAAACCTTTCTCTCTCTTTCTCTCTCTCTCTCTCTCTCTCTCTCTCTCTTTCTCTCTTTCTCTTGAGATCATAACAATTCACGAGACAATCTTCAGTCACGAAAGATAATCTTCGAGAAGAAGTTCTCTCCAAGAAATTCCATATAAGATAATACCAGTAGATATATTGATATGCATGTATATATGTATGTGGTTATTATCTAAAATAAAAGGGAAATGTGTAGGATATCGTATTGTGGAAACGAGAAATATATATGTTATTTTTCCATTATTATATAGTGAAATAAAAAATTAATTTGGAATAATATGTCACATCTTTATAATTTATATATTCTTAGGTCGCATTCAGTAACGTTACCCAAGTATCTCTGTATATTATTTTGTTCTTGTTGTTCACCTAATGTTAAACAAGGATAAGATGATACACTCTAGGATAGGATAATTTTTTCAAATACAGTCTTAGTATAGTTTAATATATTGAAAATCTTTGTAAGCTTCATATGAAATATATCTTAATTGGTACGCAGTAGGTCATATTTATGTCCAAAGCAACTATGACAAAGTATATTCTTTACTTCTAATCTTTTATTTCTCTTTTATTTCACTCTCTAATTGCAAACCTTTACTATGCTCTGGGCATCCTTAGAACATTTCTTGGAGAACTGTGTTGTGTGGTCGAAGAATTTGAATATGATAGGATATCTTGCGATATTTTATTTTGAATATTCCGGATAGATATGGGGTGGGATCGTTTTGTCATTATGAAACAATTTGGGATATCCTCAGGATAAATGTTCTGTGTAAATATTATCGTTCTATTTTGGCAAATTGTGCTGTTAGAAGCTAAGCTTAATGAGGGAGCAGTAGATTGCAGAAATCTGCTGTATCGTCATGATCGAATTTGCTGGCATACTGCTAATAGTACTGCCAGAGCTAGTGCTGCTAACATTATGCTATCTGGATACATGTCGATAAATATTGCCGAATTTCACATAAATTTTACAAATTTTCACAACTTTCTTAAATTGCAAAATAATTAAAGCAAATTGTTAACCAAATTAAAAGATATTTAGATAAAGGTTTAAAACATTTTTGGAAAATATACAGAAATATAGTGAATATTAATGGGAATATTATATATATATATATATATTTTCAGTTTTATAACGTCTTTCGTTGTTGTTCGATATCTCATACGTATGTGGTGCACACGCGGATCGTACACCGAGCATACGGGACTTACAATTTTAACGCTGGTTTCGAACGGCAGTTTTTGAGAGGTTTTCTTGGCAATAGATACTCTTGATGGTTTGCCAGACTATTGAAGAGGAGCTACAAGTACGTGAAAAATTCTTTGAATCTGCCTGGGATCGAACCCGGGATCTTTGGAATAGCCACCTACTATGCCACGCTCGTGCTCAATGAGAATATTATATATGATAAAAAAAAAACGATTTGTTATAAATGAGCTTATATATAAAAAAATATATGTATAAGAAATATTGTGAATATATGAACTTGTCCAGAAAGTAAGCAGTACTTTTATATTAAGCCCATGATTTTTTTCATTGCATTATAACGTTGATCTTAATATTTATTATACTTCCGGATATTTCCCAGAAATGTATCAAATTTGGATCTAAAGAGTTTTTAGTGTAACTGATTTTGTAATTTAGAAAAACTGCAAAAATTTAATTATATTATTTATTGTTATTTTTATTAATCACTATTTATTTAATTAATTAATTCTAAGGTTGAGTATTAGTTATTAAAATGACACTTCTACAACTTTATTTTAATTACAGAAAATTCATTTGGAAGGTTATATAACTCATTACATATAATTCATAACCAAAATTCATACCCATCCTTTTAAGTGAATTAATTTTATAATTATTAATAAGTATGAACATTAATATGTTGACATTATATATATATATATATATATATATATATATATATATATATGTATTATTTATTACGTTTGTAATTTGTACTGTATGGATCGTAGCAGCATAAAATAAGATGATGATGCACGCAATACCTTAAATTAAATTAGACAAAATTTTACACTTTTTAATCGAAAAATTGTATGTAGGAGAGACTGGGGACAGTTGTAATGGAGGTTAGTTGTAATAATGCATATATCTTTTAAATGATAAGAGATAAGATAAAGAACAAAAATAGTCAGTATTGAAGCTTGCGTTTGCCTCATGACATTAATCGCGTTATGACATTAATCATGTAAAAGAAGTTATATAAAGTGCTCAGAGAAGCCATATAAGTGTAACGATGTTATATTTTTTTGCTTTAAACTTTCAAATAAAATGCTTTTTATCATGTTTTTATTTTATTAATTCTAATTTACGTTTTCTCAAGCTATATGCATATCTTTTCTTGATATTTTTAAGTGTTTTTTTTTTAAATATATTTATATAAATTTTTACAACATGGTTAATAGTACCGCATCGCCAGGATATATCGTAACACCATTAAAATAATTAACCGTAAATGTTAAGAAGAGTCCGCTTACCTCAAATTTAAAAAAAAAAATACTGAATAATCGATGCGTTTTCGCATAAAAATAAAAATCTGACAAAAAAAAAGTATCGCTCTGTTTCATGAACCAAAATATTTTAAGTTAACGATTATTCAGGTTAAGAAATCTGTCACAGCCACGAAATACTGCTATGCATGCACTAAGGTCACATTTTCATGCTCTATGGCCATGAATGCGTTGTATTTTTTATTATCTTATTGTAATAAGATATTATTCACTACTTTACAAACGCAAATTCATTGTTTTATAAAAAATTATCTGTTCTGAAACACAAATTTACTCTTTTGAAACAAATTCTCTACTCTAAAAAACAAATTCGTTGCTTTTTAATAGTAAATTTACTGATTTAAAAACAATAATATATGAAGATAATTTATATTTTAGAACAGATAATTTATTTTTAAAGCATGTTACAATTTTCCCTAACTCTGTTTCATTTTGCCCTAAATCGGAACAAGTACTAATTCGGATTTTGATATTCTACTCGTAAACAGCCTGAAATTATACCTTTTTAGTAGCAAATAGTATCATAAACCTAAATAGTTATTGTATCATGTGCATTTTTTAAAACAAATAAACATATATGTTATAAATAAAGAAATGTATGTATTGAGTCATCTAAAAAGTATCCGCGGTTTTTTTGTCACTAGATGGTGTTGATGGTCAACACCATCTAGTGACAAAAAACCGCGGATACTTTTTAGATGGCCCAATATATTTCTAAAAATTGTAACAACTGTCCCTAGTCTTCCCTATTATAACTAAGCTATCGTTTTACTCACTGCATTGAAATTTACATATGACAAGTTAACAAAATTACCCGCGGTTATTTTCAATGATTTTCTGCTTTTCATCATGATCATAATGAAAAGCTTTCTTTGCGCTATTGGCATTTTGTACCATTCCGCATTGTATCTGTAAATTTATTACTTTTAGTATCTACTTATCTTTAATATCTACTTAACTATCTACTTATCTTTTTTATTCTTTTTTTTTTAAAGAAAACATTAATTCTTTTTACATTACTTCGCGAAATTTTTCAATTTTATTATTTCTTGTTATTTTATTCACTTGAGCATATATGATTTTAGTAAGTGTATTTCTGGTAATATGTGTAAAACGTACGCGGATTCATACACCTTTTCGCTGGAATCTATTATTTTCTGACCTTGCCAATTTTCAACGAATGTGTTGAGTAAAAGTGCGCTTAGATAACTAGTGTGTTTCAACAAGTGATTCACATCTTCCGTACTCGTTATCACCTAAAGAAGCATACATGGATGTAATTAAAAATCAATGTATTATATAATATAATTATCAAATGAATATATATATATATATATATAAAATTACCTGAAATCCTAAAATACTCATCTATGTATTGATTCAATAGCAAGGGAAAATCTATCATAGTACGTATAAAAATATAAATTATTGTATGCTTCAGAATGACAAGTAATGACGAAAATATGTACTAACTGTATCGCCTCTGTGTGCCTTCGAATACTGTACACAATATTCGAGTAAAGTTTCTTTGCAGACATCTGCAAATCGTTGCCTTCACATTCAAATGCGTTTTCCAAACGATATCTGCAAGATTGCTGTTATTCGCAGATATTACTTAAAAGCAATTTTGAGTCAATGATTTAAAACTCACCTCAAAGCTACAAACAAACCGCAGCAATGTTGAATGAGCGTCATATACAAGACGTCGAATGTAAGCATCAAGATTGTATAAGATATAACACATATGATAACGTGTACAAAAATTGGAACGTAATATTTTTTTGGATCAATCAAAATGTAATTGACATAATATGGTAATCCTACTTGTTTATGTACATTACTTGACGGATCGTCTTCGCTGGATTCCGTATAGAGTAATTTACTTAATAATGTTGTAAATAGAAAAACAACAGTATGACTGAGTAAGACACCTAATAATTAAAAAAAACACACGGTTTCAGGTTCTCTTATAATTTGTGATTTTATCAACATGATAAGAAGAGGTACACGCGATGTCAAGGTAACATGTAAAATGTTAAAAAGATTAAAATTTGATAAGAATTATAAAAAATATTTTGGTAAATACATATGTCGAATAAGGAAGATATATAGCCCCGATGACCTTGACCTTGACATATGTTGCAAAGGTCATGACCCTGAATAATCTCCAACAAATTTTAACTCGTTATTCGTTAAAAAGTTATTAACAAAAAAAAAGTAGTGTCATAAAACAGTAGTGTTATAAAACAAAAATTCTTCTTTAAAAATAAAAATATTCGATAATTGTCCCTATAAGGGACTCAGCCTCGATGACCTTGACGTAGACATATGTTCTGTCTAGTGACGCGCCTCTAAAGCAGTCAATTTCTTTAAAGCAGTGAATTTTTACATAAGAGAAGTTTTGGACACAACTATATTTTAATGAAACTTACATTACCATCGTTTCACGTTGTAAAGGTTGTATATGGATACATTAGATTTCATTATCGATTTCATTATCGAACATTTCTGTTATAACGAAAATTATGAATTCATGTAAAATCTGGCTTTGTGTTATCAAGTATATGCGTAGATGCATACACTTGGGTTCCGTTCCTCAGCAGGGAGCTACACTCCGAAAAAAAATAACCCAACTCATATTTTGGTGTGGGGTGGTTCTCGCTACTTGTAGAAAGTTGTAAATCCATGTTAAACATTGCTTGAATTTACAACTTTCCGCGCGAAAATAAAAAATGGGTTAGGTTAGATTATTTTTTTTCGGAGTGGAACCCACTGCATCACGCATACACTTTACAACACAAAGCCAGATTCTACATGAGTTTATAACTTTCGTTACAGCAGAAATGATATATTATTTTTTCAAACTTTTTTGTTAATAACTTTTTAACAAATAACTTTTAACGAGCGATGGCTGAAACTTGTTGGAAGTTATTCAGAGTCGTGACCATGATAACATATGTCAAGATCAAGATCGGGATTGTCTCCCCTATTCGACATATTTATTGTTATACTTTTATGTACCAATATTTTTTGTTATACAATAATATCCATGAAAATATGCATTGCGATAAAATATGTTCAAAAAGAAGTATGGTCGAAGGGGGGACGAAGGGTAGTAAAATTAATTTTCAAAAAATTGACAATAGCTTATAATCCTTAGTTTAAATATCCCACACTGTATATGTATTTATAATATATGTATGTATAATATATTGTTAAAAATGTACCTATATTATTATATACATACAGAGAGAAACAACTCGCCTGTATAAACGTAGCTTAATTTCTTTCCATACAATGCGTATGAAAGCAGAATTCTAGTCTCTTCATCCGACTTTGGAGAATACCAATACTGTCGCATTCTCGTCAAAAGTATTTTAATCTGCAGCTCGAAATCAATTTAAGTACGATTTTACATTGCTTGACTATTGTCCAATCTTATTCTACTCAGTCATTTAAATTGAAACGGAAAGAACAATTTTGCTAATCGAAATATATCTAAAAATTTAGCTATATAGATCTGCAAATAGTTTATTGGATTGTTAAAATAATTATATAGGATGTTTAAGCATAATGAGCAATGCTGCAAAAAGTTTAGACATTCCAGCAACCAATTTGAACTACATAATTATTGCGATGATTTAACAAAATTAATTTCAGATTTAAATTTAATTAAATTTTTATATTTTAGCAAAACCGTTCTTTCCATGTATACATATAAGAGAGATTATTTTTATTTACCTCTGATAACGTATATATTGCACAAATCAGTTTACTTATCGATACCGTGCTGAGAACTAACATCGGCAAACAGTCAATCACTTCTAAAGAATCTGACCAAATTTCAATTATACCCAGCACCTGCATTCAGAATGGATTTATATATTATGTAGATCACTTGTGCGATATTTGTGCTTGCAATCGATTTGATTCGTTTTAATTTCATGCTCTGTCATAGCCGAGGAAAAAGATCGCGACACTATAAAGTATTAAATTTTACAATTGCCACTATTATTCAACAATAATATAATTATCGAAAAAAACGTTTGATATTTATAAAGTTCACTACGTCTTCAGATAACAAAATCGCAGAATTAAAAAATGTATATAATGCGTCATAATAATTAAATGATCGTGTACCTCAAATGTCATTCCAGATCCAAATACAAGTAGAAATGCGAAATATATCGCACAGCGTTTGCCTGTCGTATGATAGGGCCATAGACCGCTGACGCTTAATAGAACCTGTATAATATTGTAATGCGACTCTCGAAAGAATTTATCGACATCGTCCATCTCCCTTATTATCGTCCCTTACCTATCGCTGTTTCGCGGGAATAAAATTTGTTTAACTCAGGGTATAGATGATAGTCAGACGCTTATGAAAAATTCCGTTTAATCTCGTCGATTGTCGTGTATCGGAAAACATATGCGTTGCTTCCACGTATCACCAATCTTCGAGAAACTGAATTTGCAATAGCATTCGTAGCAATAAATATTTATTGCACTCATATTATCTACGTTGAGACGGTACGCCTCTACGTAGTTCTTTAGGAACCTTTATATAAGGCTGAAAGACCAGAAAATTGTTTAAATTATGAATTACTGCAAAGAAAAGAACAGTCACCCTATGGACGTACAATCTTGAAAGTTTATTTTTTTATTCCTTTTTTTCCTTCCTGGACAATAAGAAATATTGAAATGACAGTGATGAGTGCTTTAATTAGTTTGTTTTACTTTCTATTATTAATAAGAACTTTTAAATACTTTATTTTAATGTTAATTATCATAGAGCTTTCTATGTGACAGATTATAAATTATTGTTAAACATTTATAATTTCAAGATTTTATTACCTGCAATTTTTAATAATAATTTTTAATAACAATTATAGCGATTAAAAATAAAAAGTTTTTTTTATGTTAACAAATATTTGTGATAGCAATGATAGCAATAAATAAAATTTATATGATAGTGTTAATAATTTAACAGATTAAAGTGAGTTCTGTTTAAAAAGAAATTTTCTATAGATCTCAAAAATGAATTAAAGTCTTATAATTTAAAAAAATATAACAAAGAAATTCAGGATGAGAATACAGCGCAAATATAAATAAACATAAAAAATTTTTGAAATAAAAAACTTATTTACTTTGCTAAGGCATGCTGTCTTTATTCCAATCGAACGTTTCGACTTTTTTTGGAGTCCTCTTCGATACAAATACATAAATTTATATATTCATAGAATGTTTAGCCATCAAAAATAAATCGCTTCTCAATAAGCATTATGTTATCAGAAAGAAGCTCTTCAAGAGCTCAAATTTAAAAATAAAATGTCCTACAATACAGTCTCGAAGGTAACATGAAATAATGATATCAATAAATTATCTAATACGTCAATTTTAGAGGAAAAAAAAAGATGTCATTTAAATGATAAAAAAATTCCTAAATCTGACGTCTAAAAAAATTCCTAAATCTGACTTCTTATATCAAGAAAACTTGCCTTAAGAAATGCTATATATAAATATCATCATAGATCCCTGAATTAATTTTTACAAAACTAAACGAATTATATATGATAATACGTTGAAATGTTTCAATCTGCTTCCATAGATTTCTATTTTAAAAACTTGATCCAAAAAATTGTTTTATAACACGAAAAGCTTTCATTATGCTATGCCTGTATTACTCTTTCTTACTTACGAGAAATTGATCTCCATTTAGTAGCAATACTGCGTATTTGTTTATTAATAGCATTTATAAATTGATAAATAAAGAGCTCTTGATCATAAAGAGCTCTTTTAAAAAACATCTTACAGAACGTTTTTGAGAGATCATTTTTAAAAGATTTTAATGAAATCCTTAAAAAATGATCATCTTAGAAAATATTGTACTTCTCAACAATGATTACTAAAAGTCGCTACAATTTTGTTGTTGCATTTTTATAATTTTATTATTCACAAATATTATAATTATTTACAAAAATATTATGATAATTATTTACAAAAATGCATTGGATGAGTTTTCTGCTATTTTTGAATTATATAAGTGTTTCTTTTAGAGAATCACATTTTTCTTTAATATTCATATTAGATTATCATCGGCAAAATTATTGATAATAGAAAAAACATTTCGCATCTTAAACATAACAAAATTGGTCCTAATCATTGTTTAAGAATGTAGCTAAAAAATAATTAAAAAATGATAGGCGATTGAGAGTTAATAATGCGGTAGTTAATAATAATAACTCGGGAGGCGATTCTCTATTGAAGATCCACCAGCGATCACACACTCAGACGTAATCCATTGTCTTCCCAGAAGAAACAGTTTCAGATTATTCGAGGTCCGTCTTTCTCCAAAAATAGAGGAGCTCCTTCACTGGAAGCTGTCCTATCTGATCAGGCTGAAATATCTTCAAGCCCAAAAGCTATCACCTTAATCCAACGCGGTAATTAGTTATACAATAATTATATTCTTTCACTAAAATATATATTTATAACAATTTACAAGGGAACCAATGTTAAATTCTGATTACTAAATGTTAATATATTATAGGTTACATTACATAAAAAAATGAATTTAGAAAATATTGGTTGCAGTGGAAAAATGATTTGAAGGGGTGAAATCATGCGGATTTTAGCTTTTTTCATTGTATCTTAAAAACAATTCGAGATATCAAAAAATGTTTTATATAAAACATTTGTTTATTAAAAATATTATTGACACAAATGAATAGAAGTAATTTTGTTATAAAGCTTTTGTATAGAAAGAGAAGCTTTTGTATTTTTTGGTGTCTCGAATAATTTTCGAGATATAATGGAAAAAACTGAAAACCTGCACTTTATCACATGTAAGGGATGATTTCACCTTTTCAAACCGACATTTTTTCGTCGCAACGGACATTTTCTAAATTCATCTTTGTATATATGTATACTAGTGTGCCCAATGAATACACCTAATATTGGAATAAATGAATAAAAAATGGATGAAAATATCCATTCGAATATACTTCTTTTTTGTTCGTCAAGAAACGAATGAATACTTTTTCATTCCATTTGAATGAATATTTTTTGAATATGATTACGAATATTTTCGTTTTCGCATTTACTTCTATTCTGTATTATCTGCACATAGCTTAAAAGTCTGCAAGAGAAAAACAGAAATCTGTAAAAACAAAATCTGAAAATAGCAAACCTGATGGCAAAAGAATCCTCCATCAGTGATGCCAGATAGCAGACTAATGACGCGGCACGGTATATATAGTTAATAATTTGAGAATAATTATTATATGTATTATCTCAAATAAAAATTTAAATAAAATTATATGTTATCTCAAATGAAGATTTATATGAAAATTATATGTCATATCAAATAGATTGTATTTATAAATAAAAGTATTGCTTTCTAAAATGTTTTTTTAATTTCTAAATTTTCCTCATCAAATCTAAATATTACAACAAAAATAAATAAAAATCATTTTTCTTTACTTAAAATCATCAAAGTGCCGTTATAGTTAAAGGATAACTATTGCTTAATGGGACTTTCTTTTTCAGTTTAATTTTGTTTGAATATACTTAGTGTATATTAAAACTGTTGTACACTAATCTAATCTGAATGTAAAAATAAGATACAATGTATATTTTATCAAATACCATAATAAGTATATTGAGGATTTCGCGATTTAATTTGTTTCTATATTTTTATTAAACGTACATCTTTACGTCGATTTGTATACAACATCTTTAAAGTGCATTGAGTGTGTATCAATGAAAAATGCTATTACAGTTATGTAGTTTGTTACCGAGTAGAAAAAGTAACAAATTATCATTACTATAGTTACTGATTTTTAAAAGTAACTCATTACAATTACTGTTATTTGAGAAAATAACTTTTCGTTACTTTTTAAAAATCGATGACTATCAATCACAGCAGAGGAGCTTTCTAGTCTCAAGCGTTATGAGTGGCTTATGTCTAATCGTATCGTGTCAACGATAAAAGTAATTGTAAAATTTGTTATCGTTACCAAAAAAATGTAATTTCGTTACCGTTATAGTTGCCAAAGAAAAAAAGTAACGCAGTTAGTTATCAGTAAAGTTATCAGTAACGAAAAAAGTAATGTTCCTGTCGGCGCATGATACTCTTCAGGCTGGTGTTGTCTGCACCAATCTTGGCATTGAAGTCGCCAATCACTATTATTATGTCAGACTTTTTAATTCTACATAGCGTGGAGGCGAGTGCCTCATAGAATAGGTCCTTATCATCGTCTTGGGCAGTCTCTGTCAGGGAATAAATTTATTAAGAGTCTTGTGATCTATTTACAGACTACAAAATTTATATATTGGAATAAACTTAAATTATTTCTCAAGTTTATTATATTCAAAGGACTGCAAGTAGTAAAAAAACTAAAACGTTGCAATAAATATTATGCACAAAATAGTATTTACATTATATGCTTTTATTTAGTATTTGCAATCTCATTAATATAATATAACAAATGTAAATATAATTCCTGAAATACTTAATAAAAATAATACATAAAATATAAGACAACATTTTATTTGCATAATATAATTTTTATTAGTATAACATTACTATCTACATTGCATAACATTACATTACATTATATTACTATATTGTATATTGTATATAATATATTGTAACATTATATATTTTATCTATATGATACATTTATTACTTAAGTACAAAAAATAAATTTTTAAATCCATTTTTGAATAATATTAATTTTCCTTTCATGTATAAAATTTTGTATTTTTTTCTGTATTCTATTAGTCCAATGCTTCTCAATATTTTAAATAAAAGTGACTTGTGATAATACCAAATATAGAAAAAAATTACAGAAAAAGGAAAAAAGTTATTATAAAAAAATTTATTTTTTTCTATATTCAATAATAT